AGCCCCTGCCTGGGTCTTCCAAGACTCTGGTTTCTACCACCAGGCTTGTAGAAGGCCTCCCCAGAACTAGCTAGTGATCAGCCCAGAATGGAAACCAGAGCTCTGATTGGGGTCTGGAGCTCTTGATGCTCCTCAGTATTGCCTTCCATTGCTTTGCAAATTACTGCTGTTTGGATTGCAAATGGTGATTTTGTAAGAAATATCTTGAGATTCATTAATCCAAGTCAAGCAGAACCGACCCTAATCAGGAGATTAGGTCCTTTGAAATCCTACTGGGCTAGGCATTGATTTTCCTGTCTCCAAACACACTCTTGGGCTCTGTGATTTAACTGAGATGTTCTACATTTACATTTCAAGGACTTTTAACCTTGGTCAGGTTTAGAACACCCAGAATGGATGGGTGAGGGTCACCAATCAGCCCTATACCCTTGCCTACTCTTTCAGGAGAGAGGAGTCCCATTGTGGGATGAGCAACTGCAAGTCAGGACCCCAAAAGCAAGTGCTGAAGCCCAGTGCCATACTCAGGTTCCATTCCTGTGCCCTCTCCTTTGGTACAGCAAAATGCACATTTGCAGCCCCTTGGACCTGAGTATTCTGAATGTATTTCTATTAGTAAGTCAAAAAGGCTGGATTTAAAGATACTGTTTGATTGGTTGTTGCTTTGTTTGTTGTGTTTCTCTTCAACTAAAATAAAACGCACCAGGGCAGGACTTTACATCGCTGCCTGTCGTTTCTCTGGTACCTAGAACAGAATCTGCAACATCAAAAGTGCTCAACAAACATTTATGAAATAAGCACAAAAGTGACGGTTTCAACTCTTACTCTAGATTTCTGTAATCACAGTAAGAGGCAAAAGGGTAGTTTGTCTGGGCTGCCCCATCTCTTGGTCACCAGAGTCACCGATTCTCCCCGTTCCACTTGGAGATGATTCTTACCTCCTTAAAGTCTTTTCTTTCAGCTTGTTTTTCTTTCCATTATTTCATGTCTTAACTTCCTTTCTAATGACACAAATGACCCCATTTCCTCTTCTCTTTCCAAAACCACTACCCATGCCATTTTCCCCTCTGACTGCCTCTAGTGAAAAAAGAAAAAAAAATCCTCCCAGAAATGTGACTCAGGGTAATGGACGTAAATGTCATCCAAGGCCATAGGGAATTTCTCAGCCATGAGTCACAGACTCTGTGCTGAGAACCTGGGTTTTAGTCAAGGCAGAAAGTTTCAAAACCAATCCCCAGAGATACCCTACCCCCAGCCCCTTGCCCACTGGCTGCAGGAATTTCTCCTGTCTGCTTTGGAGCTGCTGCCCAGGCCGGCATGGCTGAGGGCTCACTTCACTTCCTTCCCAGGAGTTTCCATCCCCGTGGCAATAGACTCCAGCAACTCAGCAGGAAGCACCCAGCTGCATCTTCTCTCCAGGAGCCCTGGCTGGCACTGCCCATTGAGGATGGGGAGACATAAGCCTCAGCCGCATTTCACTGTGGGCTCTGAGCCAGAGCACCTCAGATTTTCCACCTTAGCTGGAAACAGGATGTGAAAGATGCAGGTTAAGAGCCATGGTCATTCAGTTCAAAATCCTTATTCATAAAGTTAAAAAAAAAAAAATCCGTCCATGTTTAGATTGAAAGAACTTTCAATCTAAAGTTAGAAAGAACTTTCTTCGTTCTTTCTCCTTTCCTCTCACATTTATCCAACAGGTTCCAGTGCTTGCATGTGAAAATAGGAAAGAAAGAAGGAAGAAGAAAGGGAGAGAGGCTGAGAGGAAGAATGGAAGGAAGGAAACCTCAAGCTCACCCAAGCGTATACAAAGGTGGCACAGACGCACATGCCATCAAAATGGAAGGGAATTAAGTCTGTACTCACACATGACAGGCAGTGACAGGTTGAGAAATTGCTATCCAGGGCATGGGAAGGTCACTGACAAGTTTTTCAGGTCTCCAGTACATAGGAAAATGGGGCAGACTGAGCTTCTGGAAACATTGACTGAGAGAAGCCAGGCAGCACAGGGGGAAGTGAGTGGGCTGGAAGGCAGATGAATAATCCCTACAAAAAGGAATGAGCCTGGCACTGATGGGCCCTCAGCCTACCCCTGCGGGGCCCACAGTGGTGCTCGCTGGATAACAGCAGCCGTCCTGACTGAGCCAGTGTTGGAAATGGGTAGGGTCCTTTCCCATCACCCAGCTGAGGTTCAACAGGCATTGCCAGGACATCACAGAATCAGTGGAAAAATGAGGCTCAGCCGCACCTACAGCATTTGCTCTCCTGATGAACAACGATGATGGCCACTATCACAATGGCTGTGACAAAAAGAACAAGTTGTCAATGAGTGCAAACCAAGTCAGGCCCCCCTCACAGAGAAAGATCCCAGCTTCCCTGACTGGAAACTTGCTTGTCCAGCACCCAGGAGATGAAGGAACACTTTTCCTTTATCCTGGCTGTTCCTGATTAAGGATGCTTAATTTACAAGTCTTAACATGACTATATAAGTTCTGAAACATTTTATAGATGTATAGTTTTTTTTTCTTTTTTATTTATTTCTTTTTTTTGTTTTTCTTTTTTTAATTGCTTAAAAGTCATTTCTCCCCCCTGCTAGATGTATAGTTTTAATGCAGCAATTAAAAGTAAATTTAAATGTAAAAAACATGACAGAAAGTTAGAGCTGAGAGAGAATTTGAACTCTTGCCAGGCAACCCTGTGTTTCCTGAAACCGTGTGTTACCCATAAACCCCCCACCTTCAACTATTTATAGGCAAAGGAAGAAATTTTCTGTCTCACAAATGTCCAGAAAATGGTAGAGCTGGCTTTCAGAACTGATAGGACCCCACAGACTTAAATGCAGTCAGAACTCCTGTCTTAACTTCTGGTGGCTCTGGGCTCATGTCCAAGCACTGGGATACTTGTCTCATCTGCATGACGGGACTATTAACTTCCCCACCCGCCTCCTAGAACTGTCATGATCAACTGAGAAAATGCGTGAATACTGATGCCCCAGACAGTCAGCTGTAGTAACACTTGTCTTGAAAATGTGAGTTTATTCCAATGAGATTAAAATCTCAGGGGCCAATTTTAGCATAATGCAAGTTTCTCATCGGCAATTGTATCTGTGAGAAAACTGTATTAACAGAAAACTGCACCCAGCTGGACAGAGCCCTTCCAGAATTCACAAAATTAACATATGCACATGCTTCGCCTATCTGCCCCACTGCCTTGTAGACATGTCCTAATTCAACTAACCACAAGTGTGTTATCCTGCAAGGTTATGTCTTACTACTTCACACTGAAGAACATATTATGGTATACACATATATGTATATAATGTATATATATTGTCTCTGCATTCCTTCACGTGGGAAGAGCCTCATCATCGTTAGCCCCCACTTCCCAACACTCTTACATTGAGATTAAGTTTCCAGCACATCAACTCTGGAGGATACATTCAAGCCATGGCGCCAAAATGAGAAAAAAGAAATGCCTATGGGTGGAATGATGTCAAGGGCTAAGAAATCAATAAGAATAGGATGTGGTGTGCACACCTATAATAATCTCAGAACTCCAGAGGCGGAGGTTGGAGGATCATGAGTTTGAGCCAAGTTTAGGCTATGTAGTAAGATGATATCGAAAAAGAAGGAAAGAAGTAGAAGAGATGATGGGAAGAACATTGCCAAGAGTGCAAATAGGAGAACCTCTTAACAAAGCGAAAGCATTCTCCATATACAGAGATCTTCACGAAAATTGCCAAATTCTGAAGCAGTGGTACCTTTTGTACCATGAGTGACTGGTTAGGCAGTATCAAATATCGCTACAATTTCCCATGACTTCATCTGTTGGGCAAGGCCTCAAGTGCAAATAAGAAAGTCATGAAGGACACAGGATGCCGGAGTCTCATATCTGTAACCCTAGCTACCTGGGAGGCTGAGATCTGAAGGATCTCTTGCCAGCCTGAGTAAAAACATTTGCAGGACCTCATCTCAATGGAAAAAAGCTGAGTTTGGTTACACACGCCTGTGAACCCAGCGACCATGGGAAGCCTGGAATAGGAAGACTGAGGTTCAGGCCAGCCTGGGCAAAAATTGAGACCTTAGCTCTGAAAATAACCAGAGCAAAAAGGGCTACAGGCATGGAGTAAATGGCAGAGTAACTGATTGCTTTGAATACCACCTCCCTACCCTACCCTCCAAAAAAAATCCATGAAGGAATTTCCAGCAGAGATATAGAAGTTAGCTAAAGAAGACTGTACACTGGACCAAATTCACCAATTTTGATGATGCATGCTATAGATGCATCAAAAGGCCTATCTTTCAAAGACAGAAAAATAAGCTTCAGGATTTAAGACTAAAAAAGATTAAAAATTTGAAAACTTCCTCCTACCATTTCATAATAATACCTCACAAGCTGCAATCCTCCCGGCACCCACTTTCACACACAAATGTCAGGTCTTTTCTTTAAGATAAAGTGACATATTTATTATAGCCCTTACATATTTATAAACTATTTAACATGCACGGAACTGTACCACTGCTTTTATTAGGTCCCTGGCTTTTTTTTCTTTTAACGTCACTGACAAAGTTTTCAGGTACTGTACCCATGGCACATTTTTCTTTAAACCCTGTGGTTTTATTGTGCAATTTTGCATAGCACAGTAAGTCTTAGGAATGCATATATTGTATGGTAGCAAACTGTGCCGTAAGGTAATATATAAAATTACCACAATATGTAAAAGTACCTGCATCTTTTAATACCCATGTGTTTCCCCCTCAGCTGTTGTTTGGTTCCTTCAGTCTATAAGTGCGAACCCATAAATCAAACTTGTCTCTCCCCTCTGGGCCCTTGAACCACAACCTTCCAAGCGCCTTTCCCAAGGCCCTCGAGGCTGAAGAGAATTTCTTGACAACTCTACACAGTGCGGAGACTTAGCGAAGGACTCAGAGCTGCCTTTTGTCCTCCTGCAACATGTTCTCTCATCTTCAACTCCATAGAACTTGTCCTTGCTTCCTTCAGGCTACCTGCTAGAATCCTGTACTGCTGTGTGGCTCCGAGAGTTCATTTCCTGTTGCACAAGCACTTTCTCCCCTTCTCCATCACCACGTGGTTCTGGTTGAGTCGTCAAGACTTCAAGCTGGGCCTGTCCTAGGTAATCAAGGGAGCAGCCTCCCTTGATTCTGAGGATGGAGGCATCCTCAGAAGGAGCCTTGACTGTGGGCTGGGCAGCCTCCAAGCTATCCATTCCTGGGCTGTTCTGGAAGGTTCCATCTTCTTGCAGCTGTGTCTCTGAGGCAGCAACCAGAGACCAGCCCTGCAGGAGATGGGGAGGATGGGATGGAAATCAGGCCCATGGCTACCTAAAAAACCACATTTTTAACCACTACCATTTGTGAAGCATTTTTTCCTGGGAAATTTTATTATTCTTTCCTGACTACCTAACACATGTCAGAGTTTGGAGAGAGAGTTAAGGAAATCCCCTACTGGGTAAGCTTTATTTTGCTTTAAAAAGGGAGTTTCTAGCCCTTCCTGTTTCTAAACTCCAGTAGCTTTGCCTACGTAAGAACACCACTGTGTGGCTCAGCTAAGAGGACCCAGAATGAAGGTTGTAAATTATGTCACTCCAATGAGGTAAAAACATTGAAACTGTTTTACTACCAGACTCTAAAAGTGGCAATCAGTGGAATCCTCCTGAAATCTGATAGACTTTAACTCATGAGTTTCAGCTGAACTCTTCATGGTTTAAGGGTAGTTTTCAAGGGAATAACAGTGAACTTCACTAGGAATTAGGCGAGTTGCATTTGATTCATCTCCTGATCTGTTGGTGTCTGGAGATTTCAGCTCTGAATTGTAGACCTCAATCACATAACGCCAAGCAGTACCTATCACCAAGACGAAAAGACACCATTCGCAGCCTGAAGAAAGTGCATGTGTTGGGAAAGGTGTTTGTGGCAAACATTTGAAGAAGTGCATTGCTTAAAAGACAGGCCAGACAGTCACACTGAAGGTCAGGGACTTGCCTAGTGATGCTCCCACTCAGAAAGGGAGTAGAGTGAGCTTTAGTGACAAGCTGCCTGGGTTTGATTCTTGGCTGTGCCACCAAGAGTCACCTGGCCTTCATGAAGTCACATTCTGTCCTGAATTTCTTTTCTCTTCTTTTTTTTTTTTCCTTCTTTTTTTTTGTAAAATCAGTATTAGAGTTTAAACTCAGGGCCTTGATCTTGCTAGGTAGGCACTCTGTTGCTTGAGCCACTCCTCCAGCCCTTTTTGCTTTAGTTATTTTTCAGAGAGGATCTCATGTTTTTGCCCAGGGCCACCTCAGATTGCAATCCTCCTACCTCTGTGTCCTGTGTAGCCGGGATGACAAGCATACTTACCACCACACTCAGTTTATTGGTTAAGATGGGATCTCATTAACTTTTGCCCAAGGTTAGCCTCAAACTGCAATCCTCCTTATCTTCATCTCCAAAGTAGGTGGAATTAGTAGTGAGTCACTACGCCCAGCCCCATCCTGTATTTTCTTAACTGAAATAAGCATCAAGTACCACCTCACTCATAGGTCATTATCAAAATCCAGTGGAGAGTTGGTGAGAAACACGGACATAATACATAGTAAGCACTAAGTAGGTGTTACCTATATTGAACTATCTCAAATTGCCTTGTAAGCACTCTGGAATAATGTGTAGTTTCATTTAAAAAAATTTACTGTGATTATTTGTTCAAAAGATAAAATTCAGCCAGCACTAGTGGCTCACGTCTGAAATCTCAGCTATTCAGGAGGCAGAGATCAAGAGGATTGCAGTTCAGAGCCAGCCTGGGCAAAACAGTTCATGAGACGCTATCTCAAAAACACCTAACACAAAACAGGGCTGGGAGAGTGATGCAAGTAGTAGACTGCCTGTCTAGCAAGCGTGAGGCCCTAAGTTCAAACCCCGGAGCAGCCAAAAAATTCTCCTAATAATAGTATCTTCTTCCTAGAGTTACACTAAAGATTAAATGAATTAATACATGCAAGATACCTAGTACTTAATAGGCACTTAATAAATAGCATGTTATTATTATTTGTTTTGCAATTGAGACCGAACCCTCAGTCCAAATGTTTTTATGTTTTTGTTTTGTTTTGGAAACAGGTTCTTATTATGTTACTCAGGTCAGTCTTGAATTCAAGTCATCGTCCTGTCTGAGCCTCCCAAATAGCTGGAACCATGGGTATGCACCACTCCACCCGGCTTGTACCTATTATTGATGATCTCAAACGGTATATGATTAGTTCTAGGATAGTATAATTCAGGAATAACAGTCAAAAATACTTATTGTGGTTATTTTTATAAAGAGACGCAGCCTTCAGCCCTTTCTGCCTCTTTGGGTCTAAGTATAGGTTTGGGTTCTGATAAATGACTTATTTTAAGCTCTGAGTTCATGAGGTCACACTTGAAAGAATCACAGCTGTGTGTTGTTGTTTGTGTTAAAATAGGAAAGGGCACACACAGATAGCAGAAATGTACAGAAATTACATCTGTACCCCCAAGAATTTGCTGGGCTTCTCCCTCCCTGGTGCAAGCGGCCCTAACGGGGAGAGGCAGTGATATGCCACAGCCTGCTCCTACCAGCTCACCAGAGTTGATTTTGCCAGTTTCTTCCCAACTCCTTTTTCAGTGACTCAGTGTTCAGATGGGCTGTGGTGGGAGTAATTACACAGTGAAAACTTGCCAAGGCCCCAAGTCAGGCCTTTTTCTTCCAGCATTATTAAACATTTACTGAGTGATGATGTCAGAAAGTTTGTTTCTTCTTGTGCAAATCTTTTTTTCCAGAGATCCTCCAGTCTAGGGACTGTCTGCCACCCCTGCTGCTGGCTTCCCAATGGGGATTTATTATTACTTTGGCCCTCTGCAGAGCTGTGGTCCTCCTGATGGGCTGGCCACCCTTTCCCCATGAAGAGGCAAGAAAACTCTGTCCCCTTGCCACTCCATCCCCCTAGTCATCACAACACTAACACACAATATACTTTTCGGAAAAAATTATAGTCTGGGAGGGTCAAAGTCTGAAACTGAAGTCAACTTGGACTTTCTCTATGGGTCTTGGGCCCATTGTCACAGAGATCACTACATTTCCAGGGAAAACACTGCACCTACCCCTACCTTGGGGAGAGATCTTACTCCCAGAGTGCTTCCTGAGAATTGCTGTTGGGATGAATCTCTTCCCTGCCTCCCTGAGCAGGGTGGACAGGAATGTTTATTGACACCTTCAGTTGGAAGACAACGAAGACATGAAGGAGTACCTGTAATTCCATGGATGAATGTGGATGGAAGCCACAAAGGATCGGTTAAAGTTAGCAAGAAACAGACGTTAGGCAGAAGAACAGAGATGGCACAGCTTGAGAATGTGAATGTGGACTCAGGATAAGGAAGGGATAAGCGCCTACCCAAGGGCCCACCTAAGAGCCCACCTATCAGAAAGCTGTCTCCAGGGGCTTGCAAAGTCTGCCCCAAAAGTGTGCCAAAAACTGGATTAAAAACTTCTAGACAACCCAGTTGCCATGACTCAGTCTTTCTAAGTCCCACCTGTGCAGGTGCTCTTTCTTTTCTTCAATAAACCTCTTTCTCCCTTGCCACCCACCCATTGTCCCAGCTTGTCACTATTTGACCAACCCTGAACACAAGAACCCAACAAACTCAAAACCGGTATCATGAAGGTACATATGAATCTTGAAATTCAAGTTTATTTTGCAACATTCTCACTGGCAACAGATATACAGGATTGCCAATTTCTGTACTAATTGACCTCTTAAAGTAAATACACAATTTAAACCAATGATTCTCAACTCTGATTGTACATTAGAATCACCCAGGGAGTTTGTTATTTTTTTAAATGCTGATGCCTGGACTCCATAGAGTTAGGTGTGGGCCGGGCCATTGTTAGTTTTAAAAACTTCCCAGGTGACTCTGATGTGTATTCAGGTTTGGAAATCACTGCTCTAAACCACAGTGAGGAACCCAGAGTTCCCTTACCAGTAGATGTTGTCTCAGTGTATGATAGTCAATTTTCATTTCTATGATGAAATACCTGAGGCAGGCCACTTATAAAGAAAAGAAGTTTATTTAGCCCACAGTTCTGAGATTCAAGGGCATTGGCTCAGTTCCTCCTCCTCCTCCTCTTCCTCCTCCTCGCTCTCCTCCTTCTCTTTCTTCTAGCATAGTTGAGAACAACTGATTGGCTCTTAGCTGTGTCCCATAATAGCAGACAGTAGTGGCAGGAGTGCCTAAGGAGCATGGCAAGGCGGGTAGCCAGAGAGTGACTCAGGGATCAGGTTTTTGTAAAAACTTGCTCTCTCAAGAACTTTCTTCTGAGAGTAGCACTAGGACTTCCACTAGGCCCCACCTCTTAAGGATTCCATCACTTTTCACAACAATCCACCCTGGAGACCAAGCCTTCAACAAACTTAAGGACCCCTGGGAGACAAATCACACCCCAGTGCAATGGGCCTCCACCATCACGTGAAGACACTCTCCTGACGACCATGGCAGAATTGGTTCTGATTAAAATTTTAAATTCAGCAGTCCCTTCTCATTGAATCAGGGCATGGAAAAGGGAAGATAAAGATTTCCAGTCCTTCCACCAGGCACTGTTTATTCAGTCTTTAACCACTCCAGTTAGTTTATCTAGTGATTCAAACATCAACTCCAACTTCTAAAAACTAGCACAACTAATCAATTTGAGTTTTACCTTTATTTTCCTGTCCCCCCCACCCCGCTTTAAGGTCCTAATTGTGTACTTTACAAAAAGAACCAGTAAAAAAGAGTAGGAAAAAAAAGTCGTGAAGACCTGGTTAATCAGCTTCTTGAATCATTGCCATGGTTACAAGTCATTGTCCTCCTGAGTCTGCACCTGCTCTTGACTGAACAGATGGGGGGAATTTTCATGCTTGCCAACACCCTTCTCTTGAACTATGTATATTGGCTCCAGGGCATCCCCATCAGAGTTCTCCCTGTCCTAGTTCTATTGACATCTGCCTCTGGAAACTTTGTAGCCACTCATCACAGACAGGTAGGAATGTTTTCTCCCAAGACCTTGGTCTGGAATTCATTGAGTTCTTCATAAAGTTCACTGAGATCACCAGTAGCTTCCATCCCCTCTGGGACCAGAATAGTCCGGAATAATAATGAGCTTCCCTGATAGGGAGTCCAGTGAGGGGAGAGAACAGGGCTTGTCCTAAAGAGCCAGAAGTGGAATGGAGATTTCCTACCAGGTGGTCCAGAGTGGGAAGACCCACACAGCTGTGATGGACTGACAATTGGAGAGGGAACAGAAACTGAAGATGGGAACCCCAAGATGGAGGAGAATTAGGGGAGCTGAAAATACAATATTTTGGTACATTCAAAATTGAATCCATTCTTAAACAATGGGTTCCATGTTGGTTGCACTGTGGGGACACAGACGGCTGTCGAAAGGAGGCTTGGGGACACAGGATACTCTCCACCGGTCAACAGAATCTCTCTGAAAATTGGTTTCATTTCCAGGAAAAAATTATGAGAACTTTCCTATCCGTGTGACAGTTGAGATATAAATACTGAAAACATGCATATTTATGAAGGCAAAACCATGTATTTTGTTTCCATGTAAAATTTAAACAAAACACCCAAACAAAAACATCTCAGTTTGGAATGCTGTCTGTTTGAGTTCCCTGAGTGTTCTCATATGGTTTGTCGGATATTCAAACCCAATGTACAGTTAGGTCTTGGCTAGTTCTTAATAAAATTTTTGGTAAATTTGAAGAAAATTATACCCCTATATTTGATTCCTTTGTATTCAACTAATCAAAGCAATATTTAAATGCTACTTCACTTCAAGAAATTTTTACAGAATCAAAAAAAATAGGATGTTCTACTTTACAGAGAAAGCAACTTTAGACACCAAGCTGTTCTCCTTTGGTGGGATTTGCCTCTACCAAAGAGGCTGAATGAATTCTAGAGTTGTCAAAATATAACCCTCCCTCCCTATTGGATTGATTCCACCATGTGCTAAAAGCCACAAAGTTGCATGTATAGGACAGAATTTTTAAATGCATTCTGGATTTGCATACAAAGCCTTGCCCATATCAAACTGGAATAAAAACTTTAAAAGCATGAAAATGTCCTGTTCCTTGTGTTATGGTTTTAATCTTACTTCTCATAGGATTCTACAGCTCAAGGCCAGTTTTATTATTTTGCTGGACCTCAAATCTTTTGAGGAAGAGTCCCAGCTGTCACTCTCCTGGGCGTCCACTGGAGGGTTTTATTCATTGACCACAGTGCTGGCAAAGACAACCATTTATTTTTCCATAAATTGCAGTGATCCTGTGAACTTGTTACATTTAGAGAGAAAGACTATAAAA